GTGACATAACGAGCCCATCCATAAGCATAACAGTTTGCACTTTATCAGAGGAGAGGCTGCACCCAACTCGAAGACAAGGAGAGGGTCAGTTGAGAAAATTGCTTAAAGTCATCGCAATAATCTGCAGGCCTCGTTGTTAACTATGTTCGTGCAAGTAGACTCAAGCACGTACTTCCAACGTTTTCCACAAATACATTCTCCATTTCGCTGTTATCTTTTTTTGCCAAATTTATGTGATCTGACCTGATTACCTGTTAAATAGCCAATAAAGCCTTAGGCATGCTTACAAGTACTCCGCCTTTTTTCATGTAGTAAAATTAGAACACAATCTAATAATGGATTTCTTTTAAGAGGTCGATGAGCATTTTGTAGGCATAAAAAGTAGCATGTACAAGGCTAATTTTTTAATAAATAACAGAAAGTTAGGTTTGAAGTGAGTATTCTGATTTTTTAAAAAGTATACAATCGACTCTGCTTTTGCCGTAGAAGACAACACCACATCGTTCGGCAACAATTCACATCAGTGGGTAGTTAATTGAGCAAGAGTGATTGCAAACAGCATTCTCCATATAAAATCAGAGAATCCCTAATGCAATGCCTGACGTACAGCATTTATGTGTGATCAGCTGAAGCAATACTAATCAATGCTTCTAATGCTGTTAAATCTATATGCGTAAGCAATCCCTAAGAAAATTCGTATATTCCAAATCGCGAGGGTTACAGTAGCAAGCCGATGAACACTGCTATATCGAGATGCGCCTTGAAATAAAATGGACAAAAGAGTTAATGCTGTTCAAAGTAAGATGAAAGCTCATTACGTAGGGTCATAATATATCTGGCAGAACAGAGAATGCTAGCTTTGGAGGAGAATGTTATGTTCTCGTAATTAGCTAGCACTTGTTTGGTTAAACCAGTTTTACAAACTCATAAATCACGAAAATCGTTTATTTCAGAGAGAAGAGCAAGACTACCAAAATGCGCAATTTGGACGTTTGCATTCCATCGAAGTCTAAGCATCACCTTCTCTTCAAATTTAAGAGGCAGGATTATGTAAAGAAATATTTTTGGTTAGGAAATAAAATTAACTTGAGCTTCGACGAATCTATTCACATAGTAATCACGAGAGTTGTTTAAATAGTTTAGCATAACTTCGGTTTCTGCTTGCTTCTGCATTTCACTGTTGCGTTGTGCCTTACTAAACTTATAGGTTTAATAAACCCAGAAAAGCAAAGTACATGCATGCATGAATTAAATCTCAATCACCATCACTGCTATCTTGTTAACCTCGAACTTTCAGCGTGAGAGTTG